TGCGACAGCTGGTCCTCATTTCAAATGCCACACTTTGTTGAATAGGCAGCAGGCATGCAGCAACATCTGCATCTTGGAGAAATGTGAATTCACAGACAGGTACATCATGCTTCTGTTTCACAGCAGAATAAAAATTCACACTAATGTGACATAGGTGCAAAACTTCAGCAGAGATATGCAGTGTCTAAAATTAACTTGCAAAATGCTAAATGTAAATCACAATAGGCTTTGATGAGTAAATAAATTGTCCATTTACATTTACATATTTGGCAGATACTTTTATCCAAAGTGACTTACATTCCGTTCAAGGTTTACATTTTATAATTTCTTGCTTTGCCCAGGAAGAGAACCCATGACCTTGGCCTTGCTAATGCCATGGTCTACTGATTGAGCTACATAATGGGTGGTTTAAAATTTAAATGATAATACATTTTGTTCTTCACGATTCTTGGATGAATAGAAAGTTCAAAAGAACAGCATTTATTTGAAATGCCAATATTTTGTAACGTTATAAATGTCTTTACTGTCACTTTACTGATCAATTTAATGCATCTTTGCTCAATACAAATATTAATTTCTTTTAAAAAAAATACTTACTGACCCCAAACTTTTAAATGGTAGTGCATTTTAAGTCTGGATTGTACACACAATATTAAACATGGACATCTTTACTATATCTTTGAAATTCTACATGTTCAAAAGGACTTATGTTTATAAGCATTCATTCATTGATATTGTACAATTAAGTGTCTATCCAAATGTATGCAACTGCAGAATACAAATTCAGATTCTATCTGAATGAAATTAAGATCACATTGCCATATCCTAGAGAGTAACTGGAAAGAAAACTGCACCGTGACAGGCTCCTCCTGTAAGGTAGAGCTCCCACAGGGCACGTGGAGTGGGAGCGCTACTGTTTGCTGGCCTGTTCAGGCCAAAGGGCTCTCTGGTGTGGGCCACTTGTCCATGTGTGTCATCTCCGTACATGCTGCACTGCTTTTTTTTTTGTTCCCCAAGATCACTACTGTTTCTGAGCATCAGATGTCTCAGTGACATGCCTTCCCTCCCAGAGAAGCTTTTAAGGGAACTCAAGCAGAAGGAGTGGGATAAATCGTTCACTCTCAATTCAGCGCTTATGTCAATAACGGCACCCTGTAGTTAAAGCTCATCAAGCTGACATCTGATTTTTTATTTATACTCACTATTCATGTCATAACCAAAGAACAAACATGCTGAACCTAAAGCGTAATTGAACTTTTAATATTCCTCGCCTCCTCAGTAGATTTAACTTCAATACATGACAGCCTGTCTTTATATAATAATTAAGACATATTAATGTGAAATGACAATACTAGTGTTAACTGAAATTAAGAAAATCTTAATGATAGTCAATTATCTGATGTATAGGCCAGATCTTTCAGTATTAAAAGAAACAGATCAGCATCTACGGAGACCTGGGGAACTTTTCTTCTACAGATGTTTGTGAACAAACAAAACAGTGTATCTTAAAAGTCTCACTTGAGGCTGTTTCCCTCGAACAGAGCGAACTGTTCGCAATTGAAAAACAGGCCCAAGGTCAGTTGGATGCTTTCACATTGATAAGCTGACGGGAGGATGTAAGACAATGATTTCTATTACACAACAAACAGATCAGTTCAGTGCCGCAAGGCCGTTTGGCCATTGTGCTGTTTAGTCAACATTATTGCACAAAAGTGACAATAAGACTACAATGATAATGTTGTTGAACGTGCAATTCAAGATTGGTTAATAGTTAATGAAATGCAGTTTCAACTAATTATGTTAAAAATAGTCCTGGATTTAACGTTCTCTGCCCTTGTTAACATTTAAACTTTTTAAAATGTTATTTCACCTTGTTTATCCGATTTTAATTGGATTTCCTGCAGTTCATTTGAAACTAACTGCCCTCTTTGTTAACAAACTGGCCTTCAGCAGGAACTTTCAAAAAGTGAAACACCACACCATCATTATCTGATCAACAAGACCACGGTTTCAAACAACACAGAGGAATATTTCACTTCAAATGGTTTTATTCAAATAAATGTTTGTGTCCTGGTAACAAGATCACATCTGCTCCTGTTTAAAGGGCTTTTCTCGCGAACCTCCGTGAGTATTTTTAGTTAATATACCTGAAAAAAAAAATAAAAACAAAAAAGGAGGGATAATTGCTAAAGGCTGTGTGCCGCTGTGTGGTACAATAACTGAACTCAGGATGAAAGTGATTAATCCACCGTGCTACCAATTCCTGCGAGAGAAAGGGAGAGAGAGACATCTCCAGATGTAAGACCAAATCCAGGTACATTATAAAATAGGTCACATTTCCCAGAATGCCCCTTCTCTCTTGTTTCCAAAATGAAATTGCTCCATTTTTCTCCTTCCACATGCTGAATGACTCGAGGTGTCTCAAGGGCCCAGTGTATCAAGAGGGCAGAGACAGAAGTAATTCAGTCCTGGCTGTTCGTTAGGCTCTGTGTGAGATTTTCTCCCCACTCTGAACAGCAATTACGGTGGGATGATTAATCCATCGTGTTGCCCGGCTCAACACAAAGAAGATGATTGGCTGCATTAAGGCACCAGCTTGGAAGCGTCGCACCAGGGCATATTTGCAAACATGGCGGTCACAAGAAGGTTTAACATGGTTACGCCAGTCTCTGGCACTCGCAAGGAGAACATGAACCATCTGGGATCCTTGCCACATGGAGAGTCACGGGATGCCATCCTAAACTGCTTGGAAATGGCAGTGTGTGAATTCACACCATAATATATTGGCACTTAGCTTTCTGGAATTCTGGGACTTGAATGTTGGACTGTAGTGCCAGCTTTCTTTCTCTCTTTCTCTCTAATTCAACCCCATCAATAACTGAAACTTGAGCAGACAGACTGATTGACTTAACTGTTGTGCTCATTTGCATACACTTAGCCTCTGGTCTATCAGTCCCGGAAAACAATCCCAGCATGCAGATGTAAGCTATGTTTGTATCACTTGGAAAACAAAAACGAATGAGTTTGCTCTAAACAGGCAAAGCACTTAGGCGTTAAAACAAGCTGTTAAGAATGGCTTTGATGTCCAGATGGGGAAAGGAATATGACACTGACTTTAATTGCTCCTGGAAACGAGAGTGGATTCTGAGTGGATGGAAGTACTTTGAATTATCTGACGCTAATTTAAATGCAGCAAAGGGATCTCATTCCAGTTTTCTATGACTGTTTTAGTGGTATAAAACAAGAAACACTGTGACTGTTACTCATTTGCATATCTATATCTATCTATCTATCTGTCTGTCTGTCTGTCTGTCTATCTGTCTGTCTGTCTGTCTGTCTGTCTATCTATCGTCTTAATATTTCTTTCTTCCAGCAAAGGGATCTCATTCCAGTTTTCTATGACTGTTTTAGTGGTATAAAACAAGAAACACTGTGACTGTTACTCATTTGCATATCTATATCTATCTATCTATCTATCTATCTGTCTGTCTGTCTGTCTGTCTGTCTGTCTGTCTATCTATCGTCTGTCTGTCTGTCTGTCTGTCTGTATACACTACTGTAAAACTGCAATATTGTTAAGTATTATTATAATTTAATAATTATTACAATTTAAAAACTTTTCTATTTGAAATAAATATTTCTGTGATGGCAAAGCTGAATTTTAAGCATCATTACTCCAGTCTTCAATGTCACATGATCCTTCAGAAATCATTCTAATATGCTGATTTGGTTCTCAAGAAACATTTATTATTATATAATGTTGAAAACAGCTGTGCTAATATTTTTGTGGAAACTATGAATATTTTTTTGAGGATTCTTTAATGAATAGAAATCTTTTGTAACATCATAAATGTCTTTACTTTTGGTCACGTTTGGTCAATTTATTGCATCCTTGCTGAATAAAAGATTTATATTATTTAAAAAAAATTCTTACTGAAGTTTAAACAGAAATGTATATATATTATGTACTGTATATAATTTTTGTTTACATAATTTTGATACCTATTTATAATATTTGAGCTGCCTGTGTGGCTGCGCACAATTAAACAGATTTACTTTTCCATCACGACAGACCGAATCAGTTTTCAACTTTTCATTTTTCCTCATTCCTTCTTTATCTCTCACTTTCTCTAATCTCTCCCACTCTCTCTATTTTTCTCTCTCTCCAAACCATCTGACAACTAGATGTGGCTGTGGCTGTGGCTTTTATACACAGAGACAGAAGGGAAAAACTATTCATTCGTTCTGAGAATCATGTTTTTTTTTTTCAAGCCGGAGGGAGACTTGATTGGTTCCAGGGAAGAAACACCAGCTAACAAATCACACAGGACTCTGTGATCATCGCGTAGCGTGAGGGCCAAATCTCCATGGTCTGATGTGCTACACAGAGAGATCTGAAGAGAAGATATCCAGCGTCCTCCTTCTGAGATTTTCTTTTCATGAAGAAACATGGTCAAAATGTCCCCTTTGCATCCTAAACTTCACTGTTACCATGCCATCTTGAAGTAGCCGGTTGCTCAAACTTGTATGTGCCGTCTGATTGGCCAAAAATCTTGGCGAGAGTAAAAGCTGGCAGAAGTCTAATCAGTAAGATATGAGTAATGGGGTCTCAGCTTCTCTCTTAATGAAGTCAGCATCTCTGGGACGTCCCCCAACAACAACCACCCCCCCAGTAGGCCCGTGCTGGCATCTTCAAATAGTCCCTCCTCTTCTCACGTCTTACTGCCCTCTCTCTTTTTCCAGTGCTCTCTCTGGAGTGCTCAGGATGTAGCAGCTGCTTGTTGCCTTTGATTTAGACTTGCCCCAGATATGCTCCCTAATGAGCTGAATGCCCAATCAATCATTTACCTGAGTCTGAGTGAGAAGCAGGCTGATCAGAGCTGTGTAAAAAGAGAACTGCAATCAGCTTTTAACTCATCCTTCCATTTCTCTCCCTCTCTCTATATGTGCCATTGTTGGTGAAACATGAGGATAAACTTCTCTCTGATCTTTTTTTCCAGTTCCTCCTGATGACCCTGTGATAATCGGAGCACCTGTGGTGAGCTTGCGTGCAGGAGACTCGCTAAACCTTACCTGCCACGCTGACAATGCCAAACCAGCTGCCTCCATCATCTGGATCCGTAACGGAGAGGTGCTGAACGGTGCCGCGTACACCAAGGTATGGCAGATCCCTACTGCTGGCGGTTATTGTAACAACAGAATGCAATCCTGAAATGTGATGGAACCAGGGACCAGTCTAAAAATCATTTTTAGGTATCATAAATGTGTTCAATTGAATGCACCTATGATGCCCAAAAAAGTGTAAAATTGAAAGTTCACATCCAGCTATTATGTCCAAAAATGCTGTTTTGAACATTTCAGATGCTGTATTGAGTGTTTGGTTTCAAATTGAATAAACAAATCGTCTCAGGTTACGTATGTAACCATAGTTGCTCGAAGGAACGAGACGCTGCGTCGGAAAACGCTAGGGGAACGCCCTTCAGCGTGACCGGCTCTGAACCTCGTGTGTAAGTTTGTGCAACTGGCGAGCTCTTCAACGCCCTCCGTATCAATCTCCTCGGAGAAAGACAGGCGGAGCGTCGCGCCCTCTCCCCGGGGGGGAAGTACCGCAGCGTGCTTTTATAGCCTCCTGGTCATTACGTCACCCGTCCGTGACGTCTCGCCCATCTATTGGTCTGATTACACACGAGGTTCAGAGCCGGTCACGCTGAAGGGCGTTCCCCTAGCGTTTTCCGATGCAGCTCGAGTTCCTGAAGAGGAAGTTCCATTTTGAACACTTCTGTAACACCCAAAAAAAATCTTTCTCAGACATTTTGATTCAGTTCAAATGTGCATGTGATGCACAAAAAGATGCCTGAAACATTTTGATCAATTCAAACGTGCATATGATGCCCAAAAAGCTTCTTCAAATGTTTGGGCTCAGTTCAAAATGTTCATGCGATGCCCAAAAAAGCTGTCTCAAAAGTTTTGATTTAATTCAAACATGCACTGATGCTCAAAAACAGTTTCATTTCAGATTGAATGATCAAATGATCAAAAGATTTGTGAGTTCAAACATTTCACAAAAACCGTCTTGAGTGTTTCATTTCAAATTGAATGATCTATCATGCCCAAAATGTTGTTTTGAATGTTTGAGATTCAGCTTGTGCATCTGATGCTCAAAATGTCTGAAATTGTTTTTTTAATTAGTTTAAACATTCATATAATGGCCAAAAATGCTGTACCGGATATTCATTTCAAAGTGAACGATCGAGTCTATGATGCCCAAAAATGATGTATTAAATGTTTTTTTATCATAAAATAACACGATTAATTCGACATTCAAACATGATGATTGAACCATGACTTGAATGTACCTACACTCTTAAAAATAAAGGTGCTTCAAAAGGTTCTTCAAGCGATGCCCTAGAAGAACCATTTTTGGTTCCACAGAGAACCATTCAGTTAAAGGTTCTTTAAAGAACCATCTCTTTCTTACCTTTTGTAATCTGAAGAATCTTATTTCGCCACAAAGAACCTTTTGTGAAACAGAAAGGTTCTTCAGATGTTAAAGGTTCTTTATGGAACCATTTAGACAAAAAGGTTCTTCTATGGCATCGTGAAGCACCTTTATTTTTAAGAGTGTATATGACCAAGAATACATATTTGAGTGTTTAAACATACATACGTTCCCCAAGAATGCTGTCTAAAAACAATTCAATTTGAACATTCAAGCGCTTCTATGACACCCAAAAATGCTGTCTAGGTGAATAAATGCATGGGTTTGGAGACACAGCCTGTATGTTTGACAGTATTTTTTTGCCTACAGTTGATATTTTCAATATTACCCCTCTTTCACATGTCAAAAAAAGAGTCTCTCATGAAATCCTGCACTTCGCCTGAATGCGTGTCCTCGAAACGCTCGGCTCTGTCAAATTAATGACAAGTGAGGACTAATTTTTAATTTAATCCTTGGGGCAAAGTGAAGCTGTAATGCAGTGCTTTAAATATGTCATAATGGAAAGACATTCCAGCACTCCATTATGAAAGTGTTCCTCAGCAATTTGCTCAGTTTGTCAGCTTTAGGGAGAAAATTGAGAGAGCAGGAAATGTGTTTAAAGGGCCGCTCGTACTATGATTGGAGAGCGTAATCTGCTCATTTTGAGTAAACTGAACCCCTCAGCACCCACTGGAGAGAGTCCCTTTATTAATTAACCAGACCTAATTTAGACACAAGCAAGCTAGACAGGTTAACTCTTTTTTTTTTTTCCTCAACAGAAGTACTGCTTTCAAATCTGTTCTACACTGGGGAGACTCTTTTAAATCCTTCTGAAATCAAGTGCCTCCATGAGACGGATAAAAACAAAGCTATTCACGTCTCAAAAGTCATGCCAGTGTAAACTGGATATTAGATGTTGTTTTAATGAAAACGAGTCTTATAAACTGCTGATTTTTGAGTGCTGGGACAAAACAGCCTGCAGGACTGAACGAAAAAAAAATTGAAAAATGTACAGAGGAATTACTTTGGATTAATCTGTTAAACATGTTCAGAGGTGCTGGTTCAACCTCCTGCTTCTTCCGTTTTCACAGTAAACTCAGTGTGTCAACACGATTAAGGATGAATTAAGATCACAGGATGGTTTCACACTGATTTTCAGCTTCATCTATTGAATTGTCACCGCAGTCAGACAGAAAATCAACAGCGCTGACAAAATAACCATAATGCATTTAATCACACACTCATCTGATGTGTGTGCATTAGCTGTGTTATTATTTTAGTGTTGCTATTGGATGTACATCAAATAAGTGGAAATCATCTAAAATTCCCTTGATTGATTGATTGATTTATGTATGTATGTACATATGTATGTATGTATGTATGTATTTATTTATTTATTTACAGTCCTGTTCAAACATTTTTAAAAATATATTTGGAAAAAGTCCAGCAAAATGAGTAACATTGTGAAATATTATTACAATTAAAAAGAAATATTTTCTGTTTTAATGTATTTTAAAATGTAATTTATTCCTGTGGTGACAAAACTGAATTTTCCAATTTTCAGTGTCACGTGATCCTTCAGAAATCATTTAAATATGCTAATTTGGTGTTCAAGAAGCATTTTATTATTATCACAATTGGAAATGGTCTCATATTTATGTATTTATTTATATTTTAATATATATTTTGATCTACATGAACATCGATTTATTGTCTGAGGACAGGTGGTTGATGTCATTTTATAATACTGATGAAAATGAACAGCAGTTGAAATGTAAAGAAAGTATAAAGAACACTGAAGCGATCATCTCTGATCTGTTTCAAAGTGGAAATGTTGTTGTTTTCACACCGAGTGGCAGGTAAAAGTGTGGGAATGCTCTGTCTCATCTCTCAAAAATCTGTGAAAAATCCTTAAAAAGTTTAACTTAATTTTGTGCTTAAAACTTTAATTTATAACTGAATGTCTAATGACTGGAGAGCCTCATCATAACACAATTACCTTTTAGAAAAATGTCAGATGATAAAAGCACAAGAGATTTGAATTTTTCATTTTTCTCCAGGAATCGAGCTCCACTCTGAACACTCTTTATTGCGTTATTTGATTAATTCTGCGAGAGAATCTGTTATAGCTGCGAAGCTGATGGGTGTTTTAGATGAAGTCAATATCCTTCAAATATCTGTACCAATTTTTTAATAATCTTTCCTCAATAAACACGGTTCTCTACAATAGCTTGAATACCAGAGCGCAGAAGTGCAAGTAATATCGCCGTGAATAAGCTGCTTTGTGACTGACATATGAAGTGTGTAACTTCCAGTGAAAGATGCCTCAATACAGATTTCAACACAGAGCTAGTCTAATAACAGAGCAAACATTTCATATTCATTTGGTACTCGAGATTCAAGGGTTGTTGGGTTGATGGTTTGTTCTGAGACTTCCAACAGAGAGGAGCTGATTGCGAGTCTGCAATCTGTTTTTGACCTACACTCAAGAGGAAGCCCAAAGATAGACCATCTTGAATTGTTTAGCTTGTTTTTTATACTTTTTGTTTTCTGTGAATATCATTGATCATCTGTAAAATGCGGCCCAATGACACTTTAACGCTTATGATGGTTGTGTTTTCACGCAGACACTGTTGCGAGATGGCAGAAGGGAAAGCACGGTCAGCACGCTCCACATCTCTGCCTCGAACATCGAGAGCGGCCAACAGATCACCTGCCGCGCTTCCAACAAAGCGGCACCCAATGGCAAGGAGGCCACAGTCACCATCGACATCCAACGTGAGTGAATCTTCCACCGACTGAGCTTCTGTTCAAACACATTTAGCGGCAGACACTCTCAAGCTCACTTTCCTCTTCCAAATCCTGAGACCTGCATTCTGTTCTGAGCATTTCTTGTGTTTTCCTGTCTGTGTGGATAAATTATTCACATGTGAAAATCCGCTATGTGCTGTCCTATTTTCTTTATCCAAACATCCGTTGTGTATGCATGCGATCTGATGTCTGAGCACATGTCGTACTTCGCTCCACAGACACACAAGGCTTGACACAATTTTTGTTTTTCTTTGTTTTTTGTCTTGGAGAAGCAATTGTGGAAGTGACAATTTCCCTGTACGCACCATACAGGGACGTTTCTAAGATTTAAGCTGGTTATTGTAGACATAAGTGCTAATTGTTAGATTTTAAATGTCAGAAGAATTGAACACGACCAGATCCTTCTTCTGTATACAGGCGTTTCGTTTATTTTTATTTATAGCAGTCATAAGCTTCGCTGTCAAAAGTGTATCTGAAAGCGCTAAAATGAAAGGCCTGAACTAATTCAGCGCGAAGATTAGCTTTTGATGAAATATTTCTGACAATGTATGCATAGGGAACAAAGGCGTTCTTTCAGCTCTCTCAAGTGTTGAAAGTCTGACTAATAAAGCAGAAAATATATCATATTGAAAGATCCACAAGTTTTGACATCTCCTTTCTTCACGCCCGTAAAGTCTGTTTTATTGCCCAGACGGAATGCACCTCAGCACAATGGAGCTCAAATTTTGAATTGAAAGCGTGAAACGGAAAACGTTTGTGTTTTTTTTGCTCCTCCAGACTTGGCCCAAATCGTTTTGTCATGCAAAACAATAGAAGAGTTTTACTGTAAGCTTCTTTCCTCCCTGTATTGCACAGGCACTCCTGATTGGTCAGTTTTGACGACGTCGCCACTGTAAGGGCCAATGAAATACTTTGTTTAATTAATCATGTTTGGAGAACGTCAAACCAGCCCGGTTTCAGATTATATTTGCTCTCCTACACTACCTGTCAAAAGTTTGGAATAATTAATATTTTTGTAATAAATTAATATTAATAATATTAATGTTTTGTCTCTTATGTTCACCAAGGCTTCATATATTTTATTTTTAAAAAATACAGTAGAAACAGTAATATTTTGAAATATTGTTACAATTTAAAATAATAATTTTCTATTTTAATATATATTAAAATTTGATTTATACCGATGATGGCAAAGCTGAATTTTCAGCATCATTACTCCAGTCTTCAGTGCCACATGATCCTTCAGAAATCATTCTGATATGTGGATTTGCTGCTCAAAAAACATTTCTTCTTATTAACGGTGTTGAAAACTGTTTTTGTTGCTTATTATTTTTGTGAAAACAATGATATACTACCATTCAAACGTTTTGGGTAAGTATGAAAAAAATAATGATTTAATTAAGCAAGGATGAATTAAATAGATCAGAAGTGTCAGTAAAGACATTTATAATATTACAAAATATTTTTGCTTCAAAGAAATGTTGTTCTATTGAACTTTATTCATCAAAGCATAAACTTTCAGCAAAAACTCTTGTCAACATTTATAATAATAAGACAAATTATTAACAATTGAACACCAAATCAGCATATTAGAATGATTTCTTATTCATATGTGACATGTTCATGTGACAATGTCTGCTGAAAATTCAGCTTTGCTGAATTATATTTTAAAAACGTATTCAAAGTTATTTTAAATTGTAATATTTCTCAATATTACAGTTTCTACTGAATTTAAATAAATTCAGCCTAAAGCATAAGAAACATCTTTTAAAAACATTATAAAATCTTAATTATTCAACACTTTTGACCGGTAGTGTGTGTCAAATAGGGTTGGGCCGATAGACGATGCCATCGTCCATCGCCGATGACTGACAGACATCACAATGTTGAGCCGGCATCGTGATCTTCTGATAGCCGTCTAATGTGTGTTTTGGCCATGTAATGTTACTGAAATTAAATATGTTATTACCTCTGACTCTGAGTCAGAGCAGCGATCATGGAAGAGAGAACACAGGCAGACAGCGCTGGAAGCTGCTAATGCTCATCAGTAAATCAGAGGAAAATGAATAGAAATCATGATTCTGTCTGAGATATGCGTTTTAAAAGGAACACGCACTAGTGTAAATGTAGCCTACCAGATGTGTAAACTGAAGACTATTTGAGCTTTATTAAAACTATTTGCACTGATTTATTGTGTTGGGTTACATTTTGTTCCTTTGTGCAGTGGCTCAGGAGACGAGTCTTTGAGATTGAATAAACATCAACAAGCTGAAAAATAAAACCAGTTTTTTTTTTTAGATAATGTAATCTTGTTAAAATTGATTTCATAAAATTAGTATCGAAAAAAGTATCGTTCAGGAACCGGTATCGAAGTCAAGGTATCGGTATCGATATCGAAAAATTTTGAATGATACCCAGCCCTAACCGCTAGCAAATGGCTAACCATGTCCCTTTAGTGACTCCGTAGAACGCGTTATTTGTTTTCCGTGCCTTTCTGCATACGGATTCACGCTTCGGGCACACCCCCTAACCCCGCCCCCCGATGTCATCGTCCATCACGATGTTTCACTGTAGACATCTTCCGATGCCAATTTGGTAGACATCGCCCAACCCTAGAGCTTATCATATTTATCTAATTTTATCGCGATCTTATCGCCCAGCCCTAGATGCAGGTTGGTTTAATAAAACACAGGACAAATAATTGAATTTATTGTTATCCTTTCCAAGGACTTACTTGGTAGTTAAGTCATGCTTATTTAAAAGAAAGTCTATCCACCTTAATTTTAATGTAAGAGTGAGCACTGCCCTTTGTAACTTGAATGTGCAAGACTTCCGGTGCCATTCTCTTCCAGTTATGTTATGCTGTGTGAATGCAGTGGCTCAGGAGATGAGTCTTTGAGTTTGTATAAACATCAACAAGCTGAAAAATAAAACCAAAGGTTTTTTTTTTTAGATAATGTAATCGTGTTAAAATTGATTTCATAAAATTGGTATCGAAAAAAGTATCGTTCAGGAACCGGTATCGAAGTCAAGGTATCGGTATCGATATCGAAAAATTTTGAATGATACCCAGCCCTAACCGCTAGCAAATGGCTAACCATGTCCCTTTAGTGACTCCGTAGAACGCGTTATTTGTTTTCCGTGCCTTTCTGCATACGGATTCACGCTTTGGGCACACCCCCTAACCCCGCCCCCTGATGTCATCGTCCATCACGATGTTTCATTGCCCAACCCTAATGTCAAAGTCAGTGAAATTGCCACAAATAAGCTAACTGTTGCTGCCAAGATTCATTTAGCTCACAATTCATAGGGCTCGAACTTCCCTTTAGCCATCTTTATTGGAATCATTTATGCCATATCTAACCTGAGCCTGTGCGCTCTGGCGTTTGAGATGTGGCAGGTCTAACACGAGGAAGCAATTCAGTGAAGTGGAGACCCCGCTGTAGGCCACGCACTGGAAGAACATGTGCTGGGTAAATAAGTGATGACTGAGAGCAGAGAGGTGCTAGAACCTTTGGGCCAAGGCGGCCCATGGGGAGCTCCAACCGGTGCCAGGGGTACTTTCCTGATGCTTCATGTCATCAATATTTATAAAAGACAGCTGTTGAGTGAGGTGCCATGAAGGAAATGTGTTTTGTGGCAGAGTTTGAAGAGCTGGCAAAAGATGTTTTCCACTGTTCACAGAGATTATTTACTGAAAACACTTTCATTAAATCTCGCATGCTGTTTTTTCCATTTATCCTTCTCTGTAGGTAATTGCACAACAACAGATATAAATTGCACTGGCCTGATCTAATACAGCAACATGAAAGAGTTGCAAGAGTTCATCAGCGGAATGGGAGAATGTTTAGATTTCATTTCGTCTGAAGTTTTTGCGTTCCACCTAAAGTGTACCGCTAATAAACAGCGCTGATCTGTGGGTACATGAGTCACTGGTGACCTAAATAAGCGTGTTGCTTTTCACATTTCTGCTATACTCTGGCCCTTCTCTTCATACCAGACAGAAAACATTTGCTTCTACTCATATATAAGCTCTTGGCTGTGAAAGCACTGGCCTGTTTAACTGGCCTAACACAAGGCAAAAATGGAAGCTAACTAAAAAATGACCAAAGAAATTAAGAGTGATAAATGTGTAATTTAGATTCAGTTATATTTTATAAAATGTCAATTGAGACATGTAATTTAACACATTCATGGTAGTAATATGATGGAGTTCAGACAGTGTACATAATTTAGTAATTTTGTGGAATTTCTAATCATTCACTGAAAGCTAAAAGTTCTTTCAGGTACCAGAAATGCTCTCAGGTTTTAGGTGGACTAAATCTTCATGAAGCCAGCTGTACCAGCATCAAACCAGAATAAACCAACCAGGTCCATTTTGTACATTCAGAGTGGTTTTAGCCAGTCTGTTCAGCAGGGAAACCATTTCTTTCTCTGTGCTTTTCTTTAATCAGTTTGGCCTTGAGCAGATGGTCTTCCAGTGTGTCAGAGTTAAGGGTTTGTATCGTAATGAGTCTGACACCCTTCGAGACTTCTATTCTAGATTCCATGGATTATTTTCATGGAAGCGAACATTCAAAAAAAAAAAAATGACTTGATGATGGTGAATAATGGAAATTTTGAGAAGTTTCTTGGTGGTTCCTCTCCTCACAACACCATTTTGATAAGGGTCTCTGGACTCAACCAATTTCCATAGTCTAGATAAACAAATTAATCTGCAACGTGTTGACTTTCACATCTCCAGCACTCTCCTTCTTCCATTCACATGTTCCCTCTTTAAAGGTCATCAGTGCCTCTCAACCACATTCAGTAATTAAAACTTCCCCATTAAACAACACGTTTCATATTTCATAAAAGCGTTCTCAAAGCTCACAGCCCACATCAATCCGCATCCACACCTCACTTTATCCCATTTCGGTTTTCCTCCCTCTTATGACTCAAAAGAGATTTGGCTTTATCGTAAAGGCGGCTAATATTCTTCACAGCAAGTGCCGCCGATAATGCCGTCTGACCCTTTGCTCAAACGTGGCGTGAAGATCTTTCGCACCGTTAGCTCGTGGGCCTCGGCGTACCAGTTCGTTTAAGAATTAGCACCCAGGACAGCGGCTCTCCGCTTCTCTAAGTAATTGCCTTGTAAATAAGAGTAGGTTTGAAACAATGCTGTTTGTTAGGAATAATTAACGACCACATGTGCACATGGAACTGCGTCTGGAGGCCTCTCTTGAGCTCCTGTCGGGTGAACCCATTCACTCCACACAAAGGAAACTGACAAGAGGTGCTATTTCAAGCTCAAGAAAACACTCACTCGCATCCCCCTTGAGTCCTCCATCCAAAATAGATGCATACCTCTGCCTTTAGAGGACATGGAGATTTTGGATGCATATTTGCACGCAATTCTTTTTCAGATTTATACAAACCTAGACACCTCCCTAAATCCCAGTGATTCCACAGTCCAGCGCAAACTTCATTTAAAATGAATTACCACAATTCAATATTGATTCTGTACCATCTGAGGACCTGGTATGTTCTCGTAGAAACTCATGTGAACTAATTGCACTGAGCCTCGTGATGTAGTTTCTTTTTCAAATATCGCAGCTTGTTAGATTTAGTCATTGACTAAAATGTTTCACTACATGTTTATGCCAGAATTCTTAATTTATATGGTAAAGACTGGAATATACTACACAGCTTTTAAAATCTGAACAAGATCATACACTTGCTGGCAGGGGCGCCGCTAGCAATTTTGGGCCCTATGAAAGAATATGAGGTTGGGCCCCCTACCGCACCAAACATACACTATATTGCCCAAAGTATTGGGAAAACTCAATAAAACTAAAAAAAAACTCATCGCCAAACACCAATGACTTGTACATATGCGTATAATCATTTTAGACACTTCCAAAACTGTGGCAACAAAGATGGAAATACAATTTTTACATACATGAATTATGTTTCCATCTTTGATGCCACAGTTTTGGAAGTGCCTTTTTCTGTTCTAAAGAAAGGGGTGTCCCAATACATTTGTCCATATGTCACAAGTCATTGGTGTTTGGTGATGAGTTTTTGGCTCAAGGTCTGCATTTAAAGTCACACCAGAGGTGTTCAGCTGGGATTAGGACTTGGCTTTCTGCAGGCCAGTCAAGTTCTTCCACACTGACTGAATCAATCTTTTTTTTTTTTTTAACCTTACCTTATACACAGAGGCATTGTTGTGTTAGAATAGAAAATGGTCCTGTTCAAACTATTGGTATAAAATTAGAAGCACACAATTCCCTAGAATAGCATTATATGCTTTTTTTTTTTTTACTAAAAATCAGAAACTACTAAAGACTCCAAAAACTTGTTTATCAGTAAAATTAATTTATAAATGGACACTCAAAAGGTACACTGAAAAAAAAAAGATGTGGAAAACATTTCACACAGAAATTACTAATAAAAATATATATTTTTACAGTGACCAGTACGTGAAAAAACACTTAATTAGAAGATGCACACTGGACTTCTGGAGGTTAAGGGGGAAATAAATTTATTTATTTTTCAGAATCCACACATTATTTAACATTTCAGCCGGTTCAAGGTAATTCATGTTAAAGCAGAGAACATGATTCATCGGTTTAATCAACTGACAGCCCTTAATAGTAATAATCTGCATACTCATGACTAACTTACATGGTGCACTGAACAGAAACGTCTGAGTCGTAATAAGTAGAACGTGGAAGAAGTTGTGCAAGTAGTCCATTTCTTATTTGCTAACCACTCATGCTGTATTGCTGTTATTGTTTCTCTAATATGTTCGAATGTGCTGTTTTGCCTTTTCAGTGTTTTGCAGAAAAAGCTGCAGGTTAGTTTTAAATGACTAGTCCCGTGCCATAAGGCATTATGAATGAAACATCTGTCCCAGGTACAAATACATTGGGCGAGTGACGGGAGCAGAATGCTAATGAGAAATCAGACCCAGTGCTGTGTCTGGGCTTTCCAGAGGCCTCTAATCACATTCAGACCTGTGGGAGGTGACAGATCTGTCCACTGCGCTTTGACAGGACTGGGGCAGATTGCAGAAGCTTTTCTCATATTAAAGTTTCAGGATTTTGGGGAGAAAAACAGCAGGAGGAACCACTGCTGTCTGGAATCGCTGTGATTTGTCGGTATGTCGCTGATGTTTCTACCACTGGCCTAGTTAATGTCCAACATGCCCTGTGTCCAAACAAACACACGGCACAATCATGCTTTCACAGACAGTTCCTTCAGCCTCGAGAGTGTCAGCACCTGTCTGTCCTCTGTCACTTCCTGTCTATCTGCTGTCAGTCCTGTCTGTCTGTTTGGGTTTGGGTGTGTATAATTGGGAAGGAGTGAACAGAAGCAAACTCTAGCAAAGTGGGATAGCCTTGATCCAACCTATAAATTTCCTGCATATTTCAAACTTTCTTTTGTTTTAATTGAAACTGTCAGTTTTTTTAACAAGAATTCCAGCACCGCATTAAACTCAACTAAATAAAATGTAATTGTTGTATGAAATGGCTCAACAAAAAGTCTGGGGTAAATATCGCTTTTGCTTAATGTGAATTTGGCCGCTGTTTGTTTAATTCGTGTAATTAATCTATTTGTTCATTTCGCCGAAAACTCTCTTTAATCATGCTCATTTTAAAAGTTGTTTAAATTCTAATTCAGCAATTAGAAGGCAAGTTACAGCACCAATTAATCTTCATGCAAAGTAGCTCCCATTACAGAGAAAAAGAATAATCAAGCCGTTCCCACTTTTTAGAGTATTTTTAGTTTGTTCTTTAATCCGCAATTAATCTTTCTGACGAGTGTTTATTAATGAGTGTTTTGTGGGAAAGATGAAGTTGACCGGCCCACTCTGCTCCTCCAGATTTCCCACTGGTGAACCTCTCTGTGGAACCGCAGCCTGTTCTGGAAGGCAACCTGGTTAAGTTCAACTGTGCCGCTAAAGCGAATCCCCCTGTCACTCATTACAGGTGAGAGCTCACACTCACACACACGTAGACCAGAAACTGGTTTTCTTTCTCAGTATCTCATTCTTTCACTCTCCTGATGCCTTCATGGAAAAACCACATGAATTTCACATGCGAACACATGTTCATCACGTATGCATGCAAAGCAGCATGATAAATTAATGTGTTTTTGCAACAGGTGATCGTATGGAAATAGCAACTGAGGCACAATGTGACATATTGAGAGCTTGTGCTCTAAAACAACCCAAAACTCATATGCAAATTTAGTCATTTCAATTTTTTTTTCTTTTTGTGGCATCACAATGTGGCGAAAGCTTAGCTTATGAATAATAATTAAATTGTGATCCAGAAATGAATGCATATGTTTTGATACATATTTGCACTACTGTTCAAAGGTTTGGGGTCGGTACGTTTTTTTATTTTTTATTTTATTTGTATTTTTTTTATTCAAAGTGACAGTGAAAACATGCATAATGTTACAAAATATTTCTCTTTTAAATAGATGTTCATTTGAACTTTCTATTCATCAAAGAATCATGTAAAAATCTATTATGGTTTCCATGAAAATATAGAGTAGCACATCCGTTTTTAACATTGATAACAGTAAGAAATGTTTCTTGAGCAGCAAAGCAGCATATCAGAATGATTTCTGAAGGATCATGTGACACTGAAGACTGGAGTAATGATGCTGAAAATTCAGCTTTGTTACAGGAATAAATACATTTTAAAATATAAAACAGTTATTTTAAATGTAGTAATATTTTACAATTTTACCATTTTACTTGATAACAGACTTCTTCCAAACATAAAAAAAAAATTAAATCAAATTACTGGCTCCAAAGTAAAAACTAAATTAACTTTGTTAATAAAGTTATGTAACTATAAAAGGAATCATTCAAATGCTCAATTGTTTTTGATCATTTCATCCTGAAAACCGCTACTGTATCAGACGTAACCTGCTGGTCAGGAACATGTTTGTTTACATTTTGTTTTGTGATTTCACTGGAAAGTCTTCATTATATAGAGAGAGACAGTGTCACACATAACATCTTTTTAATCAGCGTAGAGCGAGAGATTATCTCACCTGCCGCCCCATCAGAGTTCCATACATTATTCATGCCAGAGAGGTCTAAAGAAGCACAGACCAGCACAAACCACACAAGACTCTTGTGCCTGTGCCCTCAGCCAGCTGGACAAAGAATCTCCAAAGCTTAGAGGACACTGTGTGTCTCCTGTCACTTGACCCACTGCAGCAGGATTCAGATGTGTGCTGTGCCACAGACCGAACCCTCGGCCAAGTGTAATGTCATGAAATCATCCATCAAGTGCGAGGAAGCTCTCCACATGGAGACTGGCTTCTTGGAGAAACACAGCATTTGAATTCACACTGCAGGAACACAGAAGCCCAACTAATTACGAAGAAAGTCATTACTGATTGCGGGAGATTTCCTGTGGGCATTACACCGTTCCTCTGAGAGGATTAGAGCTGCCTCACTAGAAAGAGGAAGGATTATTTTCACTAGCCAATATTTTATTCATGTTCATTTTGTTTGCATACATATGGAAATTAATTTAACTTTGTTTTGTTTTGTTTTTTTGTAAGACAAAATGTAACATTTCTTATTGGAGGCGTCCGGTCCAGCCACTCGCAGAAATAAAACCCATCACTGTTCTCCTGTGGCATTTGAAATGAGATTAGTGAAGATGTAAATTAATTAGCAGAAATAATTTATGTTCAGCGGCCATAATGGCCATTTAAGACCCTGAGTATTTTTCATTCATGGCTTTTCATAATTTCGCAGAGCAGTTTTTATGTCTAATGAAATTTGATCTCACAGCTCCACTAGTGATCGACTCCTATGGATTTTTCAATGGCTGATGCCGATACAGTGGGCTACAATAGTAGCATTTTTACTTATTTTTTCATTCCAAATTTGAGTGAACAGAATGGACATGAATTTCTCCTACTTGAATGACTTAGCATTGCATTCTCCTTTTGCTTTAATGACAACAGCACTTTTGAACTTCAGAATCTTGGTCTAGAACCTGATGATCATGTTCTCAAGCATGATTTGTGACCATTTTGTATTTCAATAAAAAACTCAATTTTTTAAATAAAATACATAAATTATGTAAAAAAAAAGGATCAGTGTCATGCATTTCCTGATTTGATTGGTGACCTACAAATAGTGCAGAATAATATTTGAAATATGTAAGCCACAACTTTTTTCCACATTTAAATTCAGTGTTTTGAATCACACATCTTCAGTGTAGATTCAGACTTTTGAATCCCACTTTATAAAATAAATTAAATATAGCAAATGATATGGATATAAATATCTTGGCATTAAATAAACACTTATTTTACAAAGTATTAACACAAAATTCTAAAATAAATAAATGAAGTGTTGTTATGCCAGTAGGTGGCAATAATTGATCATCACTGAGTCATTCAATCATTCATCAATACGATTCATTCAAATACTGATTCATTCAGGAATGAAACATCTTTATAAGTTAGTGGTTGAATCATTTACTCAAATGATTCTTCCAAACACTGATTCATCCAGGAACGAAACAAGTGAATGAGTCGTTGAATCATTCACTCAAATGTGTTCAAAACAGTGTGTTGGTCACAGCGGTTAGTTCTGTTGTGGCTTTGAATGGAATTAGTTTCATTTACGGAGCAAAAATAGAAAAAGTAATGAACAATTTGTAAATAATGTAAATTTAATTAGCTTTTTGTTTATAGAACCTTTGTAATAAATTGTGTGGCTTGTCTGAATATCGAAATAGCAATCTTGTTCATATATTGCTTAAGCATCACTACATATATAAAATTGCTGAGAGTACAGTAACTGCCATTTATGATGCCAGTAAGCTGGACTCAGTAGAGAAAGCACTGCATTGTCCTGGTGAGGCAGTGTATATGTATGTGAAGCAGTGCGTGTGAAATTCACAGTGACTGTGAAATCGCATAAAGATTTATGCTTTTTTTTTTTTCAAAGGATGTTGCCTTTTGTTTATCCTAAACTTAGACCTCTCTCCACCAAAATAACACCTTGAAATGTGAAGCTGTCATAAAGAGTTAAATAAAAGCCACTGTGCTCAAAAATGTAGCCACAACCTTGCTATAGAAAAGAGCAAGACAGAGCGTGTCTTTTAATTCTGGCTCCGATTGTTCTCAGAGTGGAAAAGTGGGGCGTGAATGGATGGAATCAGACACGTCGCTTTTCTGCATGTGAATAAAGTATGTCCTTTGTGTCCCTCCAGGGGCTTTCTGTCAGCGCTGGTGTTGGCGGCTTTGTTCTGGCGTTGGCGATTTGTCTTGTCTTATCCTCATTTGTCACCTCTGAAGTGTCTAATGGTAGACGCTCTGTTGGGCGTGTCGAACATTTGATGTGAACATGTGGCTTTGCAGCTTGGCATCGGTGGGCATCAGCATCCACGTGGCTGATTGCTTGTTTTGGTGGAGACGGTTTGTACCACCCAGTGTTTTAATTCGAAATGTGGCCGATCACAGACAGCCCTCCTGCAGCATCTTAAAAAAACAAACAATTTCTTTTCCATTGGTGTTGTATCGGCTTACACCTTCAGAGGATTTTTTTTTTTATTCTAGGGTTTGTGTATATACTATTGCTGTTGAATTATGTAAAGAAAGCAGCAAACACATGAATTTGATCTGTGTATTGTGAAGCTTTGAGAGCACAGTTTGTCTTTCAGGCTGAGGTTTGGACATCTTTTTCTGATGTTTTATTTGTGGTTACTTTACTGTTTTATTCTCATGTCCCTTTCCGAGATAAAGTTGTCACAGCTCTGCGTAGAACACAATGTTTTTATCTTTGAATATGTCAAGATTCAGCCCTCGTCTGAGCCAAAGAAAGTGTCTCCCTGGCGGGAGGACGCTGTAATTTCTCAAACTGCTCTGCGTCTTTATTAAATTAAAGTAAGACAGTTAATCACTTAAATGTCAAAGATCCATGGAAATTGTTCACAGCACTTTTCCTATTTTAGCACCAAATACAGGATTAAAATAATTTCATAAACAACTTACGCTGACTATTGGCACCATTGCAATTGATGAAATTGAATTTTCTTAACAGGATGTAATATGCCCTTTTCCGGCATTCATTTGAATCCGTGATGAGACCTGCTGTGATCCAGAGTAATCTCTTAATTTTAGACGCTTTTGATGGTTAATCAATTGCCACTGGATTAGCTACACATTTACAAATCCCATACATTTGAATGAAAAGGATATCTGTCCGTCTCTGCGAATAGAAAATTTCTCTTGGCCTCTTTTTGTTTCTTGCCATATTTTAAGATGGTCAGACTGTTTCCTCCTGAGTTTGACATGTGAAGCCATCAGCTCTGTCCTGTGTGTGGATCTCTCTTATTTGTTTGAGTTCACATGGAGGCTGCCGTCCCCAAAGGAACCCAGAGGAAACTCTGTGGAGAAGAAAGTTTGAAAGTGAAAGTGAAAGTGAAAGTGACGTGACATGTGGCCAAGTATGGTGACCCATACTCGGAATTAGTGCTCTGCATTTAACCCATCCAAAGTGCACACACACAGCAGTGAATACACACACACCGTGAACACACACACCCGGAGCAGTGGGCAGCCACTTTTTGCTGCGGTGCCCGGGGAGCAGTTGGGGGTTCGGTGCCTTGCTCAAGGGCACCTCAGTCATGGTATTGAAG